GGCGCCGACTGCCACGGCCAGTGCAACGGTCCCTGCTGAGGCGCGCCGGGGATTCGTCGCCTTCCGAGAAAGGGAGGGAAGGGAAAGGTCGGGGCTAAAAGGTAGAGTAGGGCACTGGAAGTGGCCAAGGGGGAGAGGAAATTTGGGGAGCAATTCCCTCGCGAAGCTCCAGTCGGTCCTGAGGTAAAGGACACTCGGGCACAGCGGCCCTCTTTCCTTTCAGCGCCTCGGTCCGGGGTGGCGCTCACCGTGTGCGAACAAAAGCCGCTGGGGTTCCCAAGTGGGCGGCTGAGGGGGCAAGAGTAGCGGTTTGTTCTGGGCTGTATTGTGCGCTCCGTGGACGCAGGCCGCTTCGCCCAGTCCCCGCTGCACGGAGAGCCGCTGCTAGTGAGGCGGAGAGCCGGGAGCGGGACAGACTTAGCCAGCCCTCTGAGACGGAGGGGGCGGGAGAAGCAGCTGTTGGGGGCCTTCCCGGCCACTAGAGCTGCCCGGCGCGAACGCCTGTCGGGAGATGCCCGCCTGGCCTTCTCCCCGCTGGCCCAAAGGTCTGCTTTGGTGGGCTACAACTCCTCGTTGGTCGAGAAGATCCTGGGAAGGCCAAGGAAGCAGTGCCTCGATATTTTTACCGATACTGAAGCTAGGGTCCTTCAGGCGAAGTCGCTTGACACCCAAATGGGGACAATAGGTGTCAAGCAGCTGGATCTGGAGTTGGCGACTGCCCTGTGCAGCGCCCTTGTTTGATGGGGGTGGGGGAGCAAAGGTTTCTGCAACTAAGGGGTGAGTGGAGTGGGTAGTGCAATCTGAGCCTCTAGAATTCCTAATGTATGCAGAGAAAGCAAACTCCCACACCCCAAAAGGTCTTTTGAAAAGAAACACAACTCGCCGCTCCCCAACAAAATAATCACGGTAACCTAGGAGTTCTCTGTAAAACGAGTTGGAATGAGTATGATTGGTGATATTTATGAAGTCTGAAAACTCCGAACGTGTTTAAAATAATGTTAATACCACTCTAAGATGATAGTTACCCAATTTGGAAAAGAAAAGCACCCGTGGCTCTCTCATAGCGAACCTATAGGACAGAGTAAAACTGCCCCATGAGAGCTTCCAAGGCTGTAAGTTTTTAGGGAAGCAGACTGCATCATTCTCCCGCATTTATCCAGTAGGCCTGATTATTACCAATTTATTGGACTTTTTTTCCTCTCTCTTGATTAACCTAAAACTTGTAAGAGAATGTTGAATGAAGTATATATAGAGAGAGAGAATTCATATGTATGTATATATGACCCCGTCCAGGAGGATATTCCAACCTGTGATTAACATAGGGACTGGGTACGGGCAGTGAGCAGAAAAGGAGAAAGCAAGTGCTGGAAGAAATGTAGTTAAAAGAAATATAATTAGAAAATTAAGCAACATAATACTGTATAACAACAGTAAATGACCAATTTATAATTTAAATTCCATGAAAAAGCTTTTTAGAACAGGATTCTACCAGAACCACTATTCATTGGGGAGTAAAATGAATAAAACGGGCTGGCAACAGTGCATCCTTAGGGAGCCTGGAGAAACACAAGAGCAGCCTCTGGCCTCAAAATATTCCAGTTAGCTACAGAGTCTGTCCATTCAAATTTGTACTGAATAGAGTGCTAGGGGTAATATACAAAACAAATATCCTGATTCTCATGGAGTTTACACCCTAAATGGGGACAAGACTAAACGACATGCAATGAGAGAGTGAAGTGGTAGAAAGAAACAGGATGGTCAATAAAAGCCTTGTGAGTGACATTTGCGCCAAGACCTGAAAGAAGTGAGGGGAAGGCCAAAACATTATCCTAAAAGAAGAATTTTCCAGGTAGAGGGGACACTGAGTGCCAAGATCTGAGATGAGAATGTGCTTGGCGGATTCAAGGGAACAGTGAGGAGGCCAGAAGGGCTAGAGCAGAGAGTAGGAGATGAGGTCAAAGACATAAATGGGGACCAGAGTTGCAGGGCTTGATAGGCCACTGTAAGAACTTTGACTTTTGCTGGTTGAAATGGGGAGTCACTACATGCATAGTTTCAGGCAGAAGAATCACATGATCAACATCATTTTTAAATAAATTGCTCTTGCTACTGTATAAAGAATTTAAGTGCATTGGGAGTAGAGGGGATCACAAGAGCAGAGGCTGGAGAGGTTGTTAGTGACCATCCAGTGGATTCTGACTCAGGGCCACCCATGTGTGCAGAGTACAACTGTTTCATAGGGTTTAAAGGCTGTGAACTTTTGGAAGCAGATCGCCAGGGTGCTTAACCATTTGCGCCACCCAGGGACCAGTTTTTGTTGTTGTTATGTGCCGTCCAGTCGGTTCTGACTCATAGTGACCCCTACTTGGGTTGCCGAGGCAGTATATCACTATGGAAGTAGATTGCCCAGCCTTCCTTCCGAGGAGTGGCCGGTGCTTTGAACCGCCAGCCTTCTGGTTAGCAGTCAAGTGCTTTAGGCACTAAGCTACCAGAACTCCTAAAAGACCAGTTAGGAGACCCTTAAAATAATCCAGCCCAGAAAAGGTAGTGGCTGGGGTCAAGGTGTAACCATGGTCTCAACAAACCAAATTTATCTATTTTCTACTTGACATGAAAGATGATGAGCTATGGGAATTTTTAGTATTCTACTGCCTTTTTTATTTTTTTACCTTTTTTTCTAGTCCAAAACCATGGAAGTGGCTTGGGGTTCTATCACGGGGTGGGGGTGGGGGCGGGGGGGGAGTATTTTTCCTAACAAGTCAGTTATGGAGCAGAATATGGTTATAATTAGAAAGCACTTTCTCCAAAAACCTTGACATTAAACTATTTCAATGCATTTTGATAACCTAAATCTCCCAAACTGACTGTTCACTTGTTCAACCACAACAGTACTCTGAAGTCTGAAGTGAATAATTTCACTACTTGTCCTGATCATTTTGACAAAATACTTCAACAGCTTTCACTTGAACCAGTACTAATGCCAAGTTATGTGTAGCAAAAGAGTTATTTGTAGCAAAAGATGTAATTCATCTGAATTACATTAACCAGATCTCTGCTTCAGGTTGACTTTGAAACTTGGCCTAGGTGTGAACTACATTGCTCACACACCTAGGACTCTTTAACAACTCAAATTTATTTTTCAGTCTTTTTACTACAAGTCGGTAGTAGAAAATTATGTTTCCAGTACTGACTTTTATAGGATAATTCAATCTATGTAATTATTTTTCTGTGTCCATGAGCCACCACTACTACACTGTGAACATTTCAAAGGGGATAAAAGTAGTGAGTTTTCCATCTCTCTATCTTCAGAAGCACTAGCATACCTGGCACTAATGTTTTCTCAATGAATATTACCTACCTTTTTTTTTTTAATTATATTTAGGTGAAAGTTTACAGAGCAAATTGGTTTTCTGTTCAGTAATCCATACATACTCTGTTTTGTGACATTTACTGCAATTCCTAAAACTCAACTGCCATCATGTCGGATCCGACTCATAACGACCCCTCCTTGGGTTTCCAAGGCTGTATCTCTACGGAAGTACATTGCCTAATCTTCCTCCCCAGGAGAGGCTGGTAGCTTTCAAATGCCTTAGGCACTATGCCACCAGAGCTCCCTCTCACCCTGGGCAAATGCTGTCCTTATGTTCTCATATGCTTGGTTGTTGTAATGAGTGCCTACCCTCCTGATGTAACTTTCACCCTATAGGTCTGTTGTTTGGCTGCCAATTGAGTCATGGGGGGTTAAGTTCAGTTCCTAGCTTGAAAGAGTCTAAGAGCCATCATCTTGAAGATTCTACCAGTCCCCTCCTCAGACCAGTGAGCGTGGTCTTTTTTATGATTTTGAGCTTTGTTCCACATTTCCCCCCACTCTGTGGGAACTCTTACTGTGATCCCTTTCAGAGTGGTCAGCAGTGGTAGCTGGGCACCATCTAGTCTGGTCTCAAGGCTGTGGAAGCTGGAGCTCATGTGCTCCATTAGTCCTTTGGACAAATTATTTCCTTTGCCTTTGATTCTCTTGTTTCTTCTTTGTTCCAGATAGGGAGAAACTAATAGTTGCACCTTAGATGGCCATGCACAAACTTTTAAGACCCCAGTAGCTGCTCACCAAAGTAGGATGTCTGTGTGGACTCTGTTGTTGCCAATTGACCTTCGTGTCCCCTGAGAGTATGGTCCTGAGCCTCCATACCCAGCGATTCATTCCCTCAACGTGTTTGGTTATGACTAAGACATTTTCATAACTTTGTCCCTGTATGCTCTACTACATTCATGGATATATTTGCAGCACATATAAATACATATGTAGAGATAGCCTCTGTCAACCCTATATATTATTTGTGGGTATAGTCCCATTTGCCTTCCCACCCTTGTTCAGCTTGTATCCTCCTAAATTACTGTTATTACTATGATTGCAAGATTCTGTGTGTAATAATATTCACCTCTGTTTCCTTTAATTCTTGTGTTCCTCCCTATCTCTTCCACTGCCTTGATTATTTTGTGCTGACCTCCCCCTTACTGTACATTGCCTTTCCTTTCACTCAAGTTAATATGTGTCTACCCTCTAGCTGGTAATTGTCTCTCTCTTCCCCTCTCACCCCTGGTAACCTCAAAGAA